ATATATATATATATATACTGAGCTGGTTGACCCTCATAGGGAAATATGTATGACAAATTAGAACAAGTTTTTGCGGCGTATTTCATCGGTTAGGACTTCCTCAGACTCGATTTGTTTATATTGATGTGACTACGCATGCGCACGAATGAGGGTTGCTGGGAGTATGAAAATTTAGAAGTATTTATTTATCATCTTTTTTGTTGAATATCCTTCATTCTGATAACAGAAGTCCTGCTAAGAATGGTGAAACATTTTAAGAACCTGGACGCACATTTACTGTGGCTGAACTTGCCATTAATCCACATTTATAGGAATTTTCTTCTTAGTTAATTATTTTCCCCTTTGAATGGATTAGGAGAGATAGCGAAAAGACAAAATTTACTAAGAGCTATAAAGGAAAGGAAATTGTGGAGAGCCATGTTCATCCAATTCCTGAAGGGATATATAGAAGAAGAAAGGGATTGAGTAAATGGTTGGCAGAACAGCGATTAAAAGAGATAGCAAAAAGACAAAATTTACTAAGAGCTATAAAGGAAAGGAAATTGTGGAGAGCCATGTTCATCCAATTCCTGAAGGGATATATAGAAGAAGAAAGGGATTGAGTAAATGGTTGGCAAAACAAGGATTAGAAGAGATGGCAAAAAGACAAAATTTACTAAGAGCTATAAAGGAAAGGAAATTGTGGAGAGCCATGTCCATCCACGTCCTGAAGGGATATATAGAAGAAGAAAGGGATTGAGTAAATGGTTGGCAGAACAGCGATTAAAAGAGATAGCAAAAAGACAAAATTTACTAAGAGCTATAAAGGAAAGGAAATTGTGGAGAGCCATGTCCATCCACGTCCTGAAGGGATATATAGAAGAAGAAAGGGATTGAGTAAATGGTTGGCAGAACAGCGATTAAAAGAGATAGCAAAAAGACAAAATTTACTAAGAGCTATAAAGGAAAGGAAATTGTGGAGAGCCATGTCCATCCAATGTCCTGAAGGGATATATAGAAGAAGAAAGGGATTGAGTAAATGGTTGGCAGAACAGCGATTAAAAGAGATAGCAAAAAGACAAAATTTACTAAGAGCTATAAAGGAAAGGAAATTGTGGAGAACCATGTTCATCCAATTCCTGAAGGGATATATAGAAGAAGAAAGGGCTTGAGTAAATGGTTGGCAGAACAGAGTTTAAGAGAGATAGCGAAAAGACAAAATTTTCTCAGACCTATAAAGGAGAGGAAATTGTGGAGAGCCATGATAGAATACTCACTGTAGACATACAGTGATTAGAAGTAAAAGAAACACAGAAAATACATCTATATGTTTGCCGCCTAAAGATAAAAACATTAACATTCATTTTGCACAAAAATTTGAATTTCTTTTCATTGACAAGGCACCTAATTCATCGCACTGATCAAACATTATACAGTGAAAATTTGAAGTCCAAATAAAGTGCCGGTGGAGGTATTGATTAACATTCATATGATATGCTTTATATGATAAGCGTTTATATATAATATTTGATTTTTTTTTTGTTACGTTCATATCAGCTGAACTTAATAAACATTATGTGTATTACAATCGGCTTCGAATTTAAATTTCTTTATTTGCCACTAAGATGTGAGAAACGAAGCACGAGGCGACAGAATTTACTGGAATAAATGCCAAGTAAATTAGTTGCTTTTGAGGCTGAAACCCACGACCGGAACCTTATGTAAAAGTCCAGCGTGATTTAATGTTAACCTTTTGGTCATGCCAAATCCGATATATATATATATATATATATATATATTCATATAGATAAACATATATATTCAGAAAAAATCATACACACAGAGACATATATATATATATATATATATATATATATATATATATATATATATATATATATGATCAGATTTATTCATACACAGACACATAAGAAGAAAACATCATAGACACACAGATATATATATATATATATATATATATATATATCTGTGTGTATGATGTTTTTTATCATAAAACATCATACACAGACACACACACACATATATATATATGTGTGTGTGTGATGATTTTTTATATATATGTTCTGTTAATATATATATATATATATATATATATATATATAAATATCTACAATTGTTTTTATTTACATATAGATATATATATATAAGACGAAAAAGCAATACACATATACACACACATATATATATATATATATAAATCAAAAACAACATACACACGCACACGCATATATATATATATATATATATATATATATATATATATAGAGAGAGAGAGAGAGAGAGAGAGAGAGAGAGATACATACATACATACATACATACATAAATAAATAAATAAATGCTCTTGGCCCTTTACTTAGAACGTTCGCTTTTCGATCATAAATCCTGGGTTCGAATCTTACGATGGTCACTTTGTCAAAGGCTGACTTCTTGGTGTTATAAGCCTAGGGTGGCGACCCTACGGTGCGGTATGCCTGAAAAATGACTCCAAAATCATACCACGGGTTGCCCCGAGCCATTTGAGCGAAATTGGTTGAAGGAACCATATAGAGATCCTTAGATATCAAGGACAATTGTTCGAGAAAAAGGTATGACAAGGTGGTAAAAGTTTTCGTGTGACGTGTTTCGCCCTTTTGGACTTCATCTGACTAAGTTTCTGTTTATGTTGATGCAACTACGCATGCACAGGTACGAGGGATGCTGGGAATTCTAAATATGAAATTATTTTTCATTGTTTTATTTTTTGAGTGTTTTGGCTATCTATACTATTTCATTTAGATTAATTGCTTTATATATATATATATATATATATATATATATATATATATATATAAAATATATAAATATATATATATAATAAAAAAAAAAAAAAACAAATTGAAATTCAGTTCAATGCGATCTGTATATAAAACACCCACTTGAATAAACAAATAAATAAATAGATAATCAGATGGACAATAATAAAAGACAATTCCCCAGACACATAACGATTGTAGGCGCGCCATAAAAATATCCTTCACTGGGAACCAACTAAAGGGTAACCGCAAACATTAGCCTTGAAATAGATACCCCACTCAACCTTAGTAAAACCTCTTAGAAGATGATGTATCTATTCATAAGAATTAACTTTCTGACCACTTAACGAAGGAAAATAGTCTAGCCACTCCCACAATAACGAATTCTGTAACGGACCGGGCCTAAAAAATACACGTAAACCGACAGATAGCTTATTCCTAAAATTTCGCTTGAAGATGAAAGGGGACTAAACACCACAATCCAACTTAATTTTAATAATTATTTGGATGATTTCGGCTCACGTTTTGAAACATGAGAACTCTTATTTTAAACAAAAATATTAATCATATTTTAAACAAAATATATATATTATATATATATATATATATATAGCGTCTTCTACTGCTATTAAGCATTACTCTTCGAGTAAAATTGAATTGAGTGCTATGAGCCGCCGGCGTATTTCGTGTAGAGAAAAACGTTAAATTTTCCTGCAGTCCGTCGATTGTCTAGATGTAAGAAATCGGACTGATGGTAAATCAGTCGATTTTTGATCTCAGATTGAAGGAATCGGATATGTAGCCAGACTGAGGGGCTGCGAAGGAGTCTGTCGGTGGATAACTGCATATATATATACAAAAAAAAAACGAAAAAAAAAAAAAAGAGAGAAACGGCAACGTTTTTGCTTATAACGTGGATCAGTTTTAGTAAACCCAGGGTCACAAGCTCGCATCAGTCCAACCAAATATGTTAGCTCTATCTCTGATAATGAGCGCTTTCTAATAAGTACCGCGCATATAATATATAAATAATTATATATATATATATATATATATATATATATATATATATATATATATATATATATATATATATAAAAAGAAAGAAAGAAAGAAAGAAAGAAAGAAAGAAAGAAAGAAAGAATAATAAATCAAACACACTGGAATCTCTAAAGAAAGAAAGGAAGGATGATCGAACAAAGAAAGAAATATGGTAAAAGAACGAAAGAAAGAAAGAAAGTTGAAAGGAAAGAAAGAAAGAATGGCAGAAAGAATAATGAAATGAACGCACTGCTATCTCGAAAGAAAGAAGAAAAAAAGAAAGAAAGAAAAATGATGGAAAAAAAAGAAAGAAGGAAAGAAAGAACGATGAAACAAACATAATGCAATCTCTAAAGAAGGAAAGTAAAAATGAATGAAAGAAATCTTGTTCCCAAAACTAAAGACACAATTTCATGGTTGATTTCCATCTGTCGAAACACTTTCGCAATTTTTAAGTAAAAAAAAAAAAAAAAAAAAAAAAAAAATCGGTGTTCGTTCGGCGAAACAAAATTGGAAGAAATCAAAAAAAAAAAAAAAAAGAAAAGAAAGGTCAACTTTTGATGTTGGCCCAATACTACGTTCTAAATAGCAAACAACGACAGGCCCCAAAAGTCCACAAAGACTGTCCAGAGGAAATGAAATTAGGTGGACATGTCAGTAATTTCAATCGTCTCTACGCACCTGTCATGGACATTCACCTGCTGTCAAATATTTCTGCTGTCCGGTAATTAGAAAGCTGGCCGCATTGTCTGTCAACGAGGCTGTGACGTGGACAACGGACAAATGTTGTGTAGGCTAGAGTTTTCTAAGAATTTTTTTCCTTTTAAGGTGCAGGTCAGTGGAAAGAGGGGGTTACGGAAACATTGATTTTCGGTGGGGTTTTTTTTTCGTTTTTTTTTTTTCGTTTGTTTTCTCGGGTTTTATATTTTTTTGTTTTTCTGTTTTTCGTTTTTTACGGGGATATGATTTTTATTTCGTTTCATTTTGTTTTTTTTTTTTTGAGTTTTCTTTGGGTAACATATTTGTCTAAGAAAAAAAATGACAATATGTTAAAAATGAAGAAAATAAAAAAGAAACAAGAATTGACGAGACAGCAAAGAAAGAAAGAAAGAAAGAAAGAAAGAAAGAAAGAAAGAAAGAAAAGGTGACAAGAATAAGGACGGATATTTAAAAGAAAGAAAGAAAGAAAGACAGAAAGAAAGAAAGAAAGAAAAGGTGACAAGAATAAGGACGGATATTTAAAAGAAAGAAAGAAAGAAAGACAGAAAGAAAAATAGAAAGAAAAGATGACAAGAATAAGGACGGATATTTAAAAGAAAGAAAGAAAGAAAGAAAGAAACGCAAATTTTCAGGAAAAAGTAAGCAGATAAAGGAAAACGTTCTAAAAAAGAAAATGTTAATGAATGAATGATTTGGTTGATTCGTTATTTTACGGCTTATCAACCCTTTGCAGGATATTTAAAGTCAGAAAATAATTTTAGACTGTAATATCTTCTTTTTATTTAATAATTGTTTAGTACTATAAGTCTGACTAATTAACCCATAGCTGAGGGGATTTGTGGATTTACACACTTTCTAAAGGGATTTTCGCGTAAGTGAATAAATCGAACGCAACAAAAATTGGAACTCAGCTCTACAAATTTACATTGCACCACCCGCACATCCAAGCTTACAGCACCTGCTATTCCCTATCGGTCACCCATCTAGGTACTGACCAGGATCGATTTTGCTTAACATTCGGTGTTTGAATGTGATGTAGCTGTAAGCCTATTATACCACCGCACAGCCAAGCTTACAGCACCTGCTATATCCCAAGCAGTTAGCAATCAAGGTACTAACCATGTAAATCGTTGCTTAACTTCATTGATTGTACGGGGACCTTAGTTTAAACGGAATTCCACTACACTAATCGCACATTCAAGTTAAAGCAACTGGTATTCCAAAGCGGTTACTCATATAGATACTAACCACACTCGGCATTGCTTAACTTCGGTGATCGTACAAGAGCCGGTGTTTGAACGTGATGTGGCCGTAAGCCTATTATGCCAGGCGTACATCCAAACATACAGCAGTTGGTATTCCCAAGCGTTCACCCATCTAGGTACTGGCCAGGTTCAACGTTGCTTAACTTTGGTGATCGTAATTTGAACCGGTTTTAAAAGAAAGAAAAAGAGGAATAAAATGAAACAAAGGGGAAAGTAGACATGAAAGAACAATAGAAGAAGAAGAAAAAAGAAGAAGAAGAGAAGAAGAAGAAACAAAAAAGAAGTAAAAGAAGAAAAAGAAAAAAGATAAGAAAACAGGTGGATGATTAGGAAGAAGAAGAAGAAGAAGAAGAAGAAGAAGAAGAAGAAGAAGAAGAAGAAAACACAAAAGAAGTAAAAGAAAAGGATAAGAAAACAGGTGGATGATTCGGAGGAAGAAGAAGAAGAAGAAGAAGAAGAAGAAGAAGAAGTTAAGAATGAGTCAAAGAGAAGAAAGAAAGAAAAAAGAAGCGAAAGATTTGAAGAGTAAATAGAAGAAATATATAAAGAATCAAGTATTGAAAAACTGAATGAATTTAAGAAATTCTAATAGAAAGAATAAAGAAGAAAAGACTAGAAAAAAAAGTAAGAGATATACGATAGAGAATAGGAATACGAAAGATAAATGAAAGTTGGTAAAACATTCTCGAAGAATTAAGGAATGATACCCACAAAGAGTAAAAGACAGAAAACTAAAGAATAAAAATGACTTCTTTAGATAGGATTCTTCGAAATATATCTATTTGGGTGAATGTATGAATTAATATTAAACCGTCAGTCTCTTCCAGCGTTTCATTAAGCTGGCGTACCTTGCCAGTCTTTTTTTAAACAAAACTTGCTGCCCAAATAACCAATTATTACACGAAGGCGAAACGTGTAATCAAACAATTTTCCGCTTTGTCTGATTTACCAAACTTTTGTTTGGATTCTAATATCAGTCACCACGCACAATATTTTTACGTTTAACTTAACGTATGGATTTTTTTTATGTATGTATCTAAAGTTATAGGAATATTTTATTTTCCAAACACGGTCATTACGTTATGGCCGTGTTCATAGTTGATGTTATTGAGTGTAGGCTTTTTCGATTTTATTAATAATGCTTCGATTATTTTTAGCTTTTTTTTTACATGAGGATCATGGTATATTTATATTGTCAACGGGTTTGTTTCAGATAGAGTTTGGTAGGTTTCTGTGTGTATGTAAATGAAACGTAATTGAGCTATGCTCACAGAGATGTTACGCGATTCTTCTTGTTAGGCATGTTGTAGCATATCCAATATAATTATTTATGAATTTGGATTGGTCAGAAAAACATTTAAATTCATAAATAATACTGATTCTCTGTAATTAGGAACCTACAGGTGAGTTAATATTTTTGTCAATGGGGTTAGCATAATTTAATTTTTTCATACCAGATAATCTAATGTTTTTGACGACTGGGGTTTTTATATTTCTCAAAGAAGATTTATCCTGTTTATGGTTACCCAGCATTTGATTCTTATAGAAAATGTCAACGTTATTGTTTTATCTGTATATTTAGTGTTGTTATTGGCTACATTAAAAAGAAAAAGAATAATTTGGTGAAACTTGAGGTAAATCAAAGAATAAAAATTAAATAAAACACTTCACCCAGTAACTTAGTCGTTTTAATTAAACGTGTATAAAAGAGGGATTGTTGGCCAAATGTACAATTATATATATATATATATATATATATATATATATATATATATATATATATATATATTGTAGATTTAGCCAACAAACCCCTCTACATTGAACCTTAAAGTGTTCTGTTTTTATTCAAATATATTTGCTCTGAATTTACATTGAGCTCTCCGGATATCATCCTCCTTGTGTCTACCATACGGATTACCTAGTTTTGCTAAACTATTTTATATATATATATATATATATATATATATATATATATATATATATATATATATATATATAAAGGAGAGGCTGAGTTCGAGATTTCGAATTCCAGTCGAATCCATTACATTCACTTATGTACTAATATCTTTGGGAAAGTTATGAACACTCTTCTTCTCCCTCCAGTTATGGGTAAAATAGCAGGACACTGGGTTCTGTAGCCTTGGACGACTACTAGTCTAAGAGAAGGACAACTCTAATTTGAAAATCTGCGCAGGGTCGTTTGGAGACCTTGTAGCTACGTGCTACAAGGTCTCTGTATTCGGTCCTTCAAAAAGTGTGGTTGGTTCTGCACAAAGCAACCACTATAATCAAATCATATGTGCTGGTGTATGGGCTGTGGGTTTCTACGAACTGAGCTGCTTGGCCCTCATACGTCGAATACGACGGGAGAGTCCACCATATAAAGTTGTAGCCTCTATCTCTATGTTTGTTTGTTATCGAATACTACCTATGGTTTTGGAGATAGACCCCACCCATAACGATATATATTCTGAAAGTACCCTACCCAGGGTATTTTTATAAATATGTTTCATTTATATCAAAGAGGTTCCCCGGGGTGAGTGCGCAACCAACACGCGCCAACTGAATTTTTTCCCCTTTGATATGAATTAAATTTAAATTTGAACAACTGAATGACTTCAAGGGTACTTGGATAAGTATATACCATTTTGATGAAAGGGGATCCCCGGAGGGTCACCCTCCCCTACTGATGGTTTCCCTTTGACTTAAAATAAATTTAAATTTGAATTTCTCAAAAATATAGACGGAGAAAGCTGGAAGATGATGGTTACATTGGCATGTTCATTATGTAATATTGCAATGCATCTTTTTTCTCTATAAATTATAATGATTTAAAATCAATCATTATTCTCTCACAAAAAAAAATTATGACACGTAACAAGGAGTAGGTAATTCGGCTACTATATATATATATATATATATATATATATATATATATATATTGATTGAGGAATCGGAAATATGAACTGTCCTGTGTATTACGATAAACTACATCCTCGTCCTGGGTAGGACGATGAAATACATCCGACAGTAAGACCTTTGATTGGGAGGTTTTGAAGAGCGTTGAACCACCTCTTGCTTGTTGGTGTTCCCAGGTCTTCCCTGACCCGGGTTGTGGCACCTGTCTGGGTCCCAGCTGATGGCAAGTCGTTGACCCTTCAAAAAGTTTCAAAACTCAATGAAAATATAAATATAGGTTTTTAATACCAGCAATACATTTTTGGAAAAATTGTTACCGGCAATACAGTTTAGGAGGAAAATATTATCAGCAATTCATTTTGAAAAAATATTACCAACAATACATTTTTGGGAAAAAAATATTACCAGCAATAAAAATCTTGTCGGCATTAAATAACCTATTGAGGTTTATATACTGTAAAACAAAACAAACCAAACCAAACAGAACTGAATTGATGAGTTCGACTTTACTCTTTAATAATATTTCTCAAGCCGATAGACAATAATATAAAAATATAATGTTTAATATATAAACAGAGCGTCTACAGAATTACTTTCATTCTTTAGAAATAACGTTTGAGGTCATAAAATCTGTCAGATTAATAAATAATGCATTCTAAAAATTAATTTCTTTGCGTTTGGATACGAAAATTTACAGATATGAGACATTTCGGGATATCTATGACGAGAAAAGATACCCAAAATATCGCAATTCCAGCCATGCATGATCGACTGGTTCTCTCTATCTCGGTTAGGACGTACCATGTTTAACGGTACCTCGTTCTACGGACGCAGGTTCAAATCCTGCAGGAAACATTTTTTTTTTTCTTTGATAAGAATTCCGGAAGACGAAAAAAATATGTTTGATAAATAAAACGATCGTCTAGTAATATTTTAGAACACAATTAAAAGGTTTATTCTAAAATCGGACATTATTTTCCAGACAACATGATACTATATCCCAATGTCTAAAGGAGGTGTGTCACCTATTTGAGAACACCATTCTAAAAGTGATCGATATAAAAACTTACAAAGAAGACACTTTAATAATTAGGAAAGGGTTAATATATATATTTTGCAACTATTGTAATATTATATTAGAGCACAATTAAAAGGTTTATTCTAAAATCGGACATTATTTTCCAAACAACCTAATATTATTTTCCAATGTATACAGACTGTGCGCGACCTATTTGAGAACAACATTCTAAAAGTGATCGATATAAAAACTTACAAAGAAGACACTTTAATAATTAGGAAAGGGTTAATATATATATTTTGCAACTATTGTAATAATATATTAGAGCACAATTAATGGGTTTATTCTGAAAATCGGACATTATTTTCCGATTATCAAATAGCTTCCTACAGAAAAAAGAAAAAGGAAGACTTTTTTTTGTGAGACCTTTCTGTGTAAATCTCTTTCTATCTCAGTAAGTTGCTCTTCAAATTTACGCTCAGAGGAGCACTTCACATTCTATAATTTTGCAGGCCTGATCTAGTACATTCTAACAACTCCGGACTCCACAAGTACTTGGTCTTATGCCAAACTAGGCCGAGTTTGTTAAATACTATTTCTCCATCTTTCAATGATTCATTCGTTAGAGCACAAAGGAAAAAAGAGAAGGAAAAGTCGGGGGGGGGGCATTTGCAGATACATTTTAAAAGAAGCATGACAATTGAATCGTCTGTATGTAGGTTCCTTGAAACCCGACCCCGTATTCCTTGCCCCTGATCTGACCCTTTTTTTTTTCTTAGTGTTTCAGCAGACTGGCTTAATATATACAACCAGCGTGACACTGGACAACGTTTTTGTAGAAGGGACCTCCAGCTGTAAACAAAAAATGAGCAAGACTTGTAAAATAAAATAAAAAGTTTGATAGGAGAAAAAATATATATATATATATATATATATATATATATATATATATATATATATTGCACTGACACAAACTTACCCATTTATTCATGCATATATTCGCTAAAGCTTTCGCTCTCACTCACATATATGCATGCATTTTGTTACTCTCCTTTTTCCTCAAACATATAGACCCGAAAGTTGGTTGATCGAGATGGAATAATATTAGGAAAACAAGTGAAAAGGGGCCGAGCCTTAATGGGTGCCTATACTCGAAACATTTGCCAGTGTAAGTTATTTTAATGCTCTGTCCATTAAGTATATAAAGAATAATAACTCTCCACAGCTTCCTTTTTTAATACAATCTAACTTCTAATTTATAGGAATAAAGTGTCGCTGTCGACACTTGAGTTTGAACATAGATCGCCAGTGAGCAAACACAGGCGACCCCATTATTGAATTAAATGGATAACGTGAAGATGGAAGAAACGCATAAGTAAAAAGTCGCGTGACGTCTGATGGAGCGCCATTTCTAGTCTATCCTCTATTACTATTCGGATCTACATTTCTACTCTATCCTCTATTACTATACGTAGCGTTATTCCCTATGCCATTCACTATACTATTTCTCTATTCTGATCCCTATACGGATTACTATTTGAGCGAGTACTATCGAGGAAGTACTATTAGTGCGAGTGCTATTCGAAGGCGTATGACACCAGTATTGTTCAACGGCGTGACTATACTTTTTTCTGCGATTACAAAGTCT